AACTGTATAATTCTTTATATTCTCTCCTTGGTACTTATTACTCTCATTTGTATGTCGTCTCCTTCGCACGTGTTTTATTTTTAACCTTTGCGTAAATACTTTTTCTTATATGCGCCAATTATTTTTTTCATACACGTCATAATTTTATCCTCTTTCTGAAATTTATTTTTAATAAAACAGTATGGTGTGCCTTTGGAATATTGTGTTTTATCAGAATGTATTACAGAAGCTCAGAAGTCATCAAATCTCTAGGCTTATGATAAATCGTCTTTTTGCAGTGACACAGAATCATTTATGGAAATACGAAAGATAGAAATACCTTTCTCTATTATATATATTTCAAAGTATTGTCCGAGGAAGTTTCGATTTATTGTAATACGCAAAACTACTATCTGAAACTATTATAATCATAATGCATGTGCAAATGGAAACGTTGTAGTCATGACGACCACGTTTCTTACTTTGATATGAGACAGCGGTTCATAAGCACAAGATTTATTAGAGGTGCCTGGATATGCGTCTTTTTGCATCAATCAATGAATACTTGTGAATATAGATAGATTCTGTCATTATACTTGTTCTCACAGCTTTCATACTGTCTACACAGGATATCATAATCGATAACTTTCAATATAAAATACCATATTTTTATGACTCTTTTAGTTTGCATGCAAGAAAGAACATCTATAATAGCTGTATTACTACAACAGAGTAAATGGGATTCTGTTACCAATGAAATGCTAATATTGTTATTGCAATTAAATAAATTGTGTATCACTATGAAAGTAATCTTTCAAAACACATTGCATTGCATTGACTTTACAATTGCAGCTTATAATATGCAGATATTAAACATGTGCACACCGACACTTACTTTATTCAAGATTAACAATGGTTAACTACGCTAAACAATTGACATGATAGATTTTCTGGCTGAGCATTTTAAACAGAGACTTTATAGGTTTTACTTTGTGTTACACCTCATCTCTCTCTCTTTTGAATATATAAGGAGCTTGATTCGTATAGCGTCCTTTTTTCTTTATCAGCAGTAATGCAATTCTCTTTAGTATACCTTATTTTAGCACTCTTGTGCGTTCAGTCGGCCTTTGCTGGTACTATCAACATTTGTAAGTCATGTCAATACAAGTCTATTAGCAAGGCCATTGCCTCGCTTCCAAACAATGCTGAATCATATACAATCTTGATTGCTCCCGGAACATACACTGAGCAATTCACTATTGCTCGTCCTAACCTCGTGTTGAAGCCTGTCAGCGGTACTGTCACCATTCAGTATGCCTCTGGCCACGACACTAGCTCCAAGGCTGGAAGCACTGCTGATTCTGCTGTCTTGACTATCAAAGGCAAGAATGTCATGCTCCAAGATATTGTTATTGCAAACACTTTCAAGCAAGGGCGCGTCGCTAATGTTGCTTTGCACATCGATGCTCCTCAGGCTTATTTCAAAAATGTCAAGATCTACGGTTTCCAAGATACCCTTTTAATCAACCGCAGTGGCTCTGCTTACTTTAAGAACTGTTGGATTGAAGGTTCAGTTGATTTCATTTGGGGCTTTGGCACTGGTAAAGAAAGAAAAGTATTATACACAGAATATCCAACCATTGACCTACTGTTGCTTTAGGTTACTTTGATAAATGTGTCATTGCCTCCAATCAAAAAGGCACCTCTGTCACTGCTCACGGTAGAGATACTCCAAACGGCCCTGGTGGCTTCTACTTTAATCATTGCGTCTTCAAGGCTACTGTTCCATCAGGTCCCTTGTCCAAAACATATAATCCTTCCATGGCTTTCACTTCTCCTGCTCAGTTCCCAGACACTTGCTTCTTCGCTCGTCCTTGGGGAAAATACTCTCGTGTCATCATCATGAACTCAGACATTGGTAGTCATATCAAGCCCGCTGGTTGGAGCGGATGGAGTGATGCTAGCCCAAACACTGCAAACGTTGTCTATGGAGAATACAAGAACTTTGGAGCCCGTCCTTGGACTAATGCACGTGCTCGATTTGCAAAGAATTTGAGTGATAGTCAAGTCGCTCGATATAGTGCAAAGAAGATTTTCAATGGTGATGTCGCATGGTTTAAGAATCGATAATTATTTAGCTGTTGCTGAAGATAGAAACTATACGAATTACAAATAAATTAATTTATTATTCCAATTGTGTCTGCGGTAGAGACGTTTAATTTACACATGTTTACTAATGAACTTTAAAAGTAATTTGATGACTCTAGCCTTAATTTTAGTGGTGGCAGATACGAAAGAAGTAGTGACAGAATGCCTTGAAAGAGACTTTCGGAACTTTAAGAAATTGGTCAAGCATCCTTGAAAACTGGATAAGAAAAACAAATATTTAAAAGTAACCGTAAAGGTCAAAATGCATTGGGTAATTCAGTTTTAGTAGCAACGAAAGAATAGTGGTTTATATTTTCAAAGGTTATTTGCTGTATTAATTACGACAATCGTTGAATCTCTTTACTTATCTCATTTGCTTTGTATTTTTATTTAAAACTACATTGAGATATAACACTTTTTCAGCTACACATAAAAACATTGGAGAAGACGCATTACACTAAGGGAGCCAATACAACGCTAGATATAATGAAATTCCTCATTGCAGCAACTGGGTTTAATTTGCTACAGAGTGGATAAATCTCCAACTGTCTAGTATACTTATCAGAAGAAATACGGTCTGCTGAAGAATTGTAAATGGATATCAGCATATCATTGAATCAGTCAAGAAAGAGTAATTGGCGTCAAAGAGGGGAACTGAGAGTTCAAACACAATGGTCGAGATATGAAGTAAGGGAATTGAAGCCAATCAGTGGTGTTAATGTCGTTGAACGTACGTCCATTGAAGTGTGAAACTTTAGTGCTTGATATCAACAAACTGGTACTCTATATTCAATTTTTTCCACCTTTACTGTTGTTGAACAGATAACTATAATAACAAGCTAAAAATTAGAAAAAGAGTAACGAAGCTTCTATTCATTTCTTTATGGGAATTAAAGGTCAAATGTGCTTGAGAGATTGGGCGGTGCTATTTTAAGAAAATCTGACAGTACGTGACACGTGAATAAACGTATTTGCTCCATACAATAGAGAGGGAGAGAGTTATCAGATCTTTTTGAGTTTAGAAACCAGAGAGATTTGTGTGATCGCGAAAAGATCTAAAAAATCTGATAATTTTGTGTATCATCAAAAAATCTGATAAAGTTTTGAGTGGGTTTTTGGGGGAAAATATCTCGGTTATTTCTTATCAGATCCAGATGGCCCCTTCTAGGCTTGGCTTTAATTTTTTTTTGCTCAAAAGAAAAGATCTGATAACGTATGATCGAATTAAAGTTCATTTGGGGGATTTAAATGTTAAAAAAGAATCTGATAAGATTCCCAAGAATCCTAAGAAAAATTTATCAACACATAGCTGATACAAAAAATCAATCGTTCTTCCTTTTTATCAATTCTATAATATAATGATATAGAGAATGCATTACTGTCTCTTAAAGCATTCTAATCTTTCGCTTAAAGACATAACAATATAATAATGACGACAGATTCTATTGTATCACATATTAGCGGAAGAAAAAAATATTTTGTCAGATGGTCTAATGATGCTGCCTCTGTTCCCTTTGGGTGTCATTTATAAAAAGAATACGCTTAAAAGTAATAAAAAAAATATTAACAGGAATAGATATCTCTTATTTCGTAGTGTTATATTCTTTATCTGATTCTACTTTTCTTTATCAATACTCAGCCTCTTCTATAAAAAGCTTTTAAAAACAAGGTTACACGCTAAATGAGTCATCCCAATAGGTCCTAGTAGGTTTCATTATAAGCCAAGGATCTGATAATTAGCAATTGATTCTTTTTTTGGCTTTTGAAATAGTTCCCGTAATACCGCACTGTATTTGAAAATTTTCTATCAGATTTTTCTGTATGGTTATCAAAAAGTAAGCATTTTTAGCTTTCGAGTTTTTATTTACCAAAACTACAATCAAAGCACTCAATTATGAATGTAGTATCATTTCTATAGCTCCTTTGTTTGTTTGTATTGTAAACTGCAAGGGTACATGGTCACTCTAAAATCTGATAATTTTTGTTTAACCTTAATTCAAAGTCATCTCGAAAAGATCTGATAGATGCTAAATTTTTTATTGGCTGAGCTCATACTGGCTCTTCAAATATAAAAAGGCCACTTTTTTCCCCTACTCTTTTTTCTTGTTTACTTTACATTTTATTCATCCTTTTCATCTTCATTCATAATAAATATGCAAATCATGGCAACTACTCCTATTGCAAAGGTTACTACCGCTTCGCTTTCTCAATTTAACAAGCATACAAAATCATCACATACCCGTCGAAACCATAAAACTGTATCACCCTCATCTTCCCGTCGTTCTTCAAGTGACACAGTCTCTTCAACATCAAAGTCAAAGACTGATGGTAAGTAACCCTTTCTTTATATGCTAGCTTGTCGCTCATACTCTTGTAGATGTATTTGAAATAGTCTATGCTGCTCCTTCTGACATGATCACTCCTCCACCTTCCCCCAAGTCATCACCCTCAGCCGCCTCCTTTGCTGCAAATGATCGTATTCTAACTGCTAGACGTCAGGGACATCTAAAGTATCTTATGGCTGAATATAATGCTCTCAAAAAAGAAGGCCTCATGCTCCATGATCACACTTATAATCTTGTCTTTGAAAGCTACGCTGCTCTTCGTCGTGATGGTACTCCTCTCATTTCCATGTTAAAGGGTAAGTTTACAATTAAAAATATATTGAGAAATACATTCTAATATATGTCACTAGTCTATGATGAAATGATTGAATCTGGCATTCAACCAAGTAGCTCTACTTACTCCATCCTCATTCGTGCTTTGTGCAAGCGTGATGTAGAAGTCCAAAAAGTCATTGCTATGCTTAAACGTCAAAATGCTCGTTCTTGTAGCAAATCTTCTAGTAGTAACATGGCTGAACTTGAATCCGAGGGAAATATTACCAAGGCTCTCTCCATATTTGATGCTGCTGTTGGTCAGGGCCTCGTCCAGTTCTTTGAACCTGAGCTCTATAATCAAATACTACGCGTCTTGTCACACTATGGAAACACAAAGGCCTCTCTCTATGTATACGAGCAGTTAAATCTTCATGCTGGTCCTACCTCAGCTACGTTTGCTGCCTTGATTAATCTCTTTGGTCGTGTTGGTGATCTGCCTTCTGCCTTGAAATACTTTGAAAGATACTGTGAACTAAAGGATACTTTTGGTTATCACGATGCTTCTTATATCTACAATGCCTTGGTGGATGCTCACTTGAAGTGTAATCATTTAGAGGGCGCCATGAAAATTGTAAAAGACGATATGCTCAACTGTAATGTCAAGATGTCTACCATACCGTTCAATTCTATCATTCGTTACTACTGCATTCATAACAAGATGGATGAGGCCATCGAGTTGATTGAATCCATGAAGCAATCTTCTCCTGTGCCTGATGCAAGCAGCTTTGGCCCTATTCTTTCCACGTATTGCCAACTTGATGCTTATGATGAAGCTTCCAAGGTCTACAAAGATCTCATCAAGACGGATATCTCCAAATCCTATGGTAATTTGGCCAATTATGCGTTGCTTTGCCTCAAACACGAATCCGCCAACGTATTCCTGGTTTTGGATGACATGCGCTCTGCTGGACTAGAACCCGACCCAAGTTTGGCTGCACGCATCATGACTCATTTCGCAAATGCGTCTGATATCACACAAGCCCTTCATTCTCTTCGCATAATTTTGGAAACAATGAAGCCTCGAACGTTGGCCAAAGGATTCTGCCACATTGAAAACGCTAGTCTCTCCATTATATCCGCTGCTGAAACTCGCTTTGCTCAAGTTTTCGAAGTCAGTCGCATCCTTTACCCCTATTGTCCCCAAGGCTTGCCTTTATCTATTGCCAAAGCATTGGTAAGCAGCTATAAGGGTGATAATGATCATAGCATGCTTCTTCAGCAAAGTGACTACTCCATCTTGTTTGATGCTACTTTCTCTGTCTCTTCTGATTCCTTCCAATCTATTGTGTTTGATCTCTACCATGAAATGATTGAAAAGGGTATACGAATCACCTCTGTCTTGAAGGCTCGTGCCTTTTCTCATTTGCAAGCCCTTGGTGATAGAAAGGCAATGAAGGAATGGAATTCTCTCTTTGTTGAACGATCAGATGAACAAGCTCAGTCTGTTGAAGCTGAAGAAGCCTCCCAGGCTGTCATGAAGGCTGCTGTTCACGGTCAACTCCAAGAAGCTCTTGATGTTCTTCGCACTCGTATCGCTGAGCCTGGGCTTGCCCCTTCTGTTGAACCTTTACGTGATGCTATTGCCTTTATTGGAAAGCAAGGTCATCTTGATATCGCTGTGGCTATGTATCGTCTTTGTATCAAGAGCCTCAAAACATGCAATATGGAGTCTCAGCAGTTATCCAAGGCCATATATTCCATGACCAACAGTATCCTCATTGGTTATGCTCAGCAAGGTGATATGCTTAACGCCAAGAAATATTATGAACAGATCAAGCTTATGGGCAGGTATCCCGACGGTAACGGTTACGCTAGTCTTCTCTTGGGTAGTGCCAAGTGTGCCACGGACGAAGCCACTGATGCTCTCTTGATTTACGACGAAGCCAAGCGTCATGATGTGAAGCCCACTACCTTCTTCTACAATGTCGTAATCTCCAAACTGGCCAAGGCCCGCAAGTTGGATAGTGCCATGAAACTCTTTGAAGAAATGCAGCAGTTCAACATTGCCCCTAACTCAATCACTTATGGTGCCATCATCTCTGCTTGCGTTCGTGCTGGCTCTGAAAGCTTAGCTTGCAAACTTTTTAATGATATGCTTGCTTCCTCTTCCTTTCAACCTCGTGTTGGTCCTTTCAATAACATGATCCAATTCTATGTTCGTCAACAGCCCGACCGTGAACGTGCTCTTCATTACTTTGCTGAACTACGTCGTCGACACATCAAGCCCTCTCCTCATACTTATAAGCTACTGATGGAAGTCTACTGCATGATTGCCCCTTATGATATGCCCACTGCCCACAGTATGCTCAGCGAAATGGAACGTCGTGATAATATTCGTCCTCAAGCCACACACTATGCCGCTTTGATCTATTCCTATGGCGTCTTGCAGCGTGATATCAAGAGTGCTAGCCTTCTATTTGAAGACATGGAAGAAAAGAGAATTACCAAGGATGAAGTTGTTTATCAAGCCATGCTCGATACCTTGGTCAGTAACGATCGCTTGGATGAGGCAGAAGAACTCTATGCTATGATGAAGCAAACCATTCAAAGAAGCTCATCTCCTTACATCGAAAATGTCTTTATCCGTGGCTATGGTCAAAAGGGTCTTTTGGAAAAGGCAAAGGCTATGTTTGATGCCATGAGTGATGACAAGGACTCTGATCATGATTTTGTTGTTATTCGTGAACCAAGCACCTATGAAGCTATGGTTCGTGCCTATGTTGAAAACGAAAAGAAAGAACAAGCCAAGGCTATCTTTGATCTGATGCTTCAACGCGAGTTTCCTGAGAAAGTGACAGCATCCGTAGCAGAATTGGTGTCTGCTTGATTTATTTTGTGTATATATCCTCCCCTCTCTTTTGTATATAGACTTTACCATTTAAATAAAAGCTAGTATATGTATCATCAAAAAGATTAGTGTTTATTATATATATATATTCACACAGGCAAGCTATCTGATCCATCTCTTGCTGAGTTGCTATTTTCTATTTCTGCATACATAATGTTCCTTATGCAACTTCTGAGGCCAATGTCAACTACCAAGTCATTATGATACAATAGTTCCTCTGTTGTATCAGAACCATCACCTAATCTTCTATCTCGAGACGGTAGCATGACTGTGACGGTGTCTGCTCCAAAGGCTGTTGCTATTGCTGGTGGAACAGGTAAGGTTGTCAGAACTGTTCCATGGAGTAGTAACTGAGATGATAGACTTGAGGTAACTAATGCTCGAACAGTTTGAAGTAACAAGACAACAAAGTCGAGCATCAGCAATCTGAAGGTACTGGGTATCTGTTCTGTGTGTGCAATACAATAAGCCGCCGTTTGCCAAGTGTTTAATATGTATATTCTTACGATTATCGATAAAGTCAATAATAATTCCTGGTTGTCCAGGATCAATAGCCAAATGTAGAAGTACACAAATGAGCCATCCGCTAATGACGATGAGTAATGCTGTACGTATTGACCTTGTAAGTGCTTTAGGCGATAATAATTGCTGCTGGTATGTTAATTATATTCTCTAGTTACGCTCTCACGGGCTGTTTACCAGTTGCAGTAATAATCTAAATAATAGAACCAGCAAGCTTTTATCTAAAAGATAACTGTATGCCATGTGACAATATAAAAGGTAATCTATTGACCTTAATACATCCCTTTTTCCATTTGTGCTCATCAACTTTATAGAAAGAAAGAAAAAAAAAGAAAATAGATAGCGTCACAGCTTAACTTTTTGTCCTAATAAAGAAAATCGAGGGGACTTCAAATATACTCTTGTAGGCACTACCATGCTTCTATAGAAGATGCTCAAGTCTCTGTAAGCATGTTCAGTTCAAGATTAAAGTGGTATTTAGCGGTATATATATTCCCCAAGGGATATTCTCATTTTAATAAGTTCTATGCTTGCTTGTCAACTGATAACAAATGAACTTATTCCACCCTCATGTTTCTAACTTGTATTATCCTTTGTGAGAGAGAATCAATGTGAACTTGTAGTAAAATAGATACACAGCATATATATTCATACTCTCATCATTTTATTCCCGTTAAAATAAACTGATCAAGTCGAAAAATTATCCAATGAAAGACTACAGAGCTTGAAGGGTACAGAAAGATCACTATTAAAGGACACCTTTATGAGTCTGTAATAGTTCACAGGGCAGTCAATAGCTAATTGAATTCGGTTGTTATAGCTCCTTTCTATTTGCGTAGATTTGCACTTGGTCCACTGGTTACTACCTTCCTCCATCACAGAAATTGAAAACTGCTTTTCTGGCCGCTTTATCTCGTTTGGTGTATATATCGTCAATGTGTCAATCTTTAAGGAGCCTACCAGCATCAAACCGAAATAATCACCTCTTTTCGGCGCTATACATTTGTCAGTATGTTTGTGCTCAAGTGTATATCTATTACCTCTTAGCGTATCCCAGCAGGTGGTTGGGTCAGAGTCTACAGCAAGGTGATACGAATGTTGCACCCATTCAGTGCCTGTTGACAGCTTATCATAAAGGGTCTCTAATTGTTCTATTGATGCAATAGCTCTATAATCAAATGGTATTCTTTCTGGATGAACATATGAGTCCATGCTTGTGATCAACAGGCACTTATCATTGACGCATGATGATTTAACATCTCTATGCGCAAGCCGAGGCTCTTCTTCTTCAATTTCAAAGTAAGCTTGTTCATTCTGCTCCAGAGACCATTGCAAGTAGCGCACAGCGTCATACTATTACATAATGGTTATTATTATGAAAAGAGAGAATAAAGATATATTCTTTACTGTAAAAGAGTCCAAGGCAGCAGGGTATTTAACATCATAATCAGTAGCTTTTTGTCCATTGGCAAGATAAGGTGGATTACTTAATAACCATGGGTATTGGTTCATCCATATCGCAAAATAGTGCTCTGCTTCACGGATGTTTTCCTTGACAAGGCCAGATTTACCCAACTGTGTCAAAAAGGTTTGCACTTTCCACCGAGGTACAAATGCACCAAATCTGAGATCGGCATAGCCTGTATGCAACCTGATATCTAATATTTTATTAGATATGTTCATATTCTTACTACTATGTACCCTTGTTATAAAATCGCCACTTCATCTCCTTTTCATAGTGAGTAGGCTTTGTGTTGGCGTGAATGATGGAGGGAAAGCGTAAGAAGTTCGTATAGAGTGAATCCATAGCGCGATTAATGAATGTGTCATCTTGAAAGTAGCAGTAGGATTGAACTGCAGTAGCACAAGTAGTGAACCTTGCCATACTTTCTAATTGTTCATGCTTTATATCCAATATTTCTATTGGGGTCGATATCTTGGAATCCGCTTTTAGTTTCTATAATGAGCACATTAATAATATTCTTTCCTGTTCTATCTTTGATGACTTTACGTTGACTGTGAGTGATCGATTAGGCACAAGGTTATGGATGTATATTTCGCTTATGTATGGGTATTTTAGCAAATGATTGACTGTGTTGATAATACTTTGATCGTCATCTGTTACTCTCAGCACAATGGCTGATACTAGCTTCAACTCATTCTCCCAGAGCGCATCCTTGGTAAAGAAAGTTGATGGATATGCACTACTGTCCTTATCTTGAAGAGAAATCCTTGGCGCCCAAAATAAAGGGTTGATGTTGTAATCAATCTGAGATGACAGATTTTGAGTTGATGAACTAAATATATAATAAAGAGCACAGACAAATGTAAATAGGACTAAAGCTCTTTTATGAGTTGATGATAAGATAGGTAGCCTCTTCCTGGAAATTTGTTGATGTAATGGTAAAGAAGAAGCCATTAGATTAACCTGCTTTGTACGAGAACGAAAAGGAAAGGGCTGATCATTTCCAAAAGAGTGACCTCTCATCTTCCGACAGAGCATGTGTGTGTGACCCGGACTATCAATAAAAGGAAAAAAGATTGTCGTGTCTTGTACTAGGTTGTAATATTGTTTCTGCCGAGGAACGAACCAGCAATGAAAACAGCAGAGGTGGTCTGCACGCATTTCAAATTCATGGTGAACTTTATCACCTCCAGGGCCCCTTACTTCCCAATGATGGTAGTTCCAACCCCTTATATACTTAGCTTTACATATACGACCCACCATATGCAGCTGAAAGACACTCAGAGAGAAATAACAACCCTGATCCTGAGATCATAAGGGAGCTTTCCTTCATGCTCTCGCAGTGCAAATCCTTTTGCCCGAATTTACCGCCATCCATGTGAGATATTGAATGAGCGAGAGAGTAACGATAACTCAACTGACAACTACGCCTCACCTTATATAGTTATTTCTCCTAATATGAAAATGCGATTAATCGAAGGAGGTGATAGACGCACCCAAAGCTTGCCTACTATGGAAGAGGTTGCCGCCATCATTCCCACTGAATATGGTGACAAAAGCTTTCGTGATATTGTTCTCACCTTGAGAAGCGCAGCTAATAGCACCAGCGCTTCATTACGTGATCGGTATAGCTCTGAGTATCCCTTTCAAATAATAAGCCATACTCATGCAGCGTATATGCCTACTCATTATGTGCTACTGTTCCCACATGGAGACTACGGTTGGCACTGGGGCATGCGCCTATCATCAACGAACACCACCTCCAACAATCACAACAATAACAACAACGGAGGCGATGATGTTGATGTCAGTGAATCAACTGAACTCATCAGAACGAGGGATAGGCTATCTCAGCGTTCATTCTATCGATTTAGACTTCATTTGAGAGGAGAACACGAGTTTCTTACCATCTTTTATAGCAAGAGATTGTTTCAGCAATTCCTGGTAGGCACATGGGCTATTTGCGATCAGAATAAGCTTGAATGGTTACGAACTAATCAGGGTAGACCTCGTGCCGATGTTTACAACGGTCTATCAGACGCCATCACTCAAGATGACCAAGTGGACGTTGTGAGTTTGGGACGTAGGTTTATTCTCCCCAGCAGTTATCATGGCGGTCCCCGTTTCATGAGTAGACTATACTATGACTCCATGGTCATTTTTCGCCATTTTGGGAAGTCTTCTCTTTTCATTACCTTCACGGCCAACCCCAAATGGAAAGAAATCAATGAACTGCTGCCCGGACAAACAGCATCTGATTGGCCTGGCCTCATTGCAAGAGTATTTAATATCAAAGCTAAACACCTTTTGAATGATTTGAAGAAGAAACAGATTTTTGGTCGCTATAAAGGGTTGGTACACACCTTTGAATATTAAAAGAGAGGTCTGCCTCATCTGCACTTGCTGCTCTTCCTTGGCCCCGAAGACAATTTTGTTGATGCTGAGAAAATTGATCAAGTAATTTCAGCAGCACTGCCAAACAAAAATATAGACAAAGAGCCCTTTGAGATAATCACGTCATGCATGCTCCATGGACCATGTAGAGATATTAACCCACACTCACCATGCATGATTGAAGGCGCAAGTGGAAGAGGGCTGCTCTGCTGTTCTAAGAGATTCACAAAAGAATTTCAAGATGAAACTGTCATGCCAGAGAACGAATACCCTCTATATAGACGAAGACGAGTACCTGCTTAGGAACAGAACAATTACTTTTATTCTATAAGGCCACCTGGAAGAGTTGCTTCTGATTTCGCTATGGACAATAGGTGGGTTGTACCATAAAACCCGTACCTATCCAAAGAGTACAAGGCACATATAAACGTTGAGATTTGCGCTGGCATACAAGCAATTAAGTATGTTAGCAAGTACATCTATAAGGGGTCGGATAGAACAGCTTTAGAAATCGAAAATAGCCAAGGCGAAATAAAAAAGTATCTTTAAGGAAGATATATTGGCCCAACCGAAACTGTTTGGAATATTTTCCAATTCAAAGCCCACGAAGAAGGTCCCACGGTGATCAGCCTTCAGGTCCATCTACCTGGTGAACAAGCAGTCTGCTTTCCTTCAGATGCGTCAGCAACAGAGATTGCAACGATTTTAGAAAGAAACAGGATAACGTTGATGGCCTTTTTTAACTATAATGCAAGAATTGAAGATGGAAGGTCATACCTTTACCAAGAATTTCTTCAGCATTTTGTCTTTGATGAAAGGTTAAAGCGATGGAGACCTCGCCAGCGAGGTTTTGCCATTGGCAGAATGTATCACCGCAGTCCTATTGCAGGTGAAAGGTACTATCTTCGTCTTTTGCTGACTAGCGTCCGTAGCCCCAAGTCTCTTGAGGGCATAAGAACGGTCAATGGTGTGTTGTACCCGACGTTCAGAGAGGCTTGCGTCGCTCTGCACTTGATCGAAGGTGATCGTGAGTGGGATCGATGCTTTGCAGAGGCAAGACTTTTTGCAACAGGCAGTAAGCTACGAAGGCTATTTGTCACTGCGCTCTTGCAAGCCCAGTTAAGCAACCCGTTAGCGCAGTGGGAAAGCTATTGCAGTGATATATGTGACGATCTCTCTAATAGGCTTATAAACCTATTAGGTGATCACTTTACGACTCAGGTCCTCCAACAGACATTCACGAATGACAATCCAGCAGCTATTGACTACGGCCTCTATCTGATTGATGACAAATTACAGGGACA